GGGGAACAGAGGTACAGAGGTACAAAGGGTACAGAGGTACAGAGGTACAGAGGAACAGAGGTACAGAGGGAGCAGAGGTACAGAGGTACAGAGGTACAGAGGTACAGGGGTACAGAGGGAACAGAGGGAACAGAGGTACAGAGGTACAGAGGTACAGAGGTACAGAGGGTACAGAGGTACAGAGGTACAGAGGAACAGAGGTACAGAGGGAACAGAGGTACAGAGGTACAGAGGGTACAGAGGTACAGAGGGAGCAGAGGTACAGAGGGAACAGAGGTACAGAGGTACAGAGGAACAGAGGTACAGAGGGAACAGAGGTACAGAGGTACAGAGGAACAGAGGTACAGAGGGAACAGAGGTACAGAGGTACAGAGGGAGCAGAGGGTACAGAGGTACAGAGGGAACAGAGGTACAGAGGTACAGAGGGAACAGAGGTACAGAGGGAACAGAGGTACAGAGGTACAGAGGGTACAGAGGTACAGAGGGAGCAGAGGTACAGAGGGAACAGAGGTACAGAGGTACAGAGGTACAGAGGGTACAGAGGGAACAGAGGTACAGAGGAGAGCATGAGAAGAGACAAGCGCTCGGTTACAGCAGGAGGAGAAGACGACGACGTATGAAACAGCTTCAGAGTTTATTTAGTGAATCAGCTCGACACCAGAACACACACACAGGTAACACAGGCTTTGATCTGGTTTGGACCGGTCAGAAGTGCACCACCTCCTCAGGAAACTAAAAGACCTGGTTCTCACGTCGGTCAGAGAAGCCTCTCCTGCGACCACACTTTTACATGTATCCTAGTACACATGGGACTGGACCACTTCCAGGTTTTGGAGGTAACTCAAGACAAAAAGTAACTAATGTGTGTAATATATTCCTTTCCGAGCGCTCTCAGTGATAATGATACATGCATTTGTAAAACACAAGTTAAACAAAAAGAGAGGTATTCAAGAGATATTCGAAAACTACTACTACTACTACTACATGGATCCATTACTACTGCTACTACTGCTGCTACTACTACTACTACTATTACTACTACTGCTTCTGCGGCTGCTACTACTACTACTGGATCCATTACTACTGCTACTGCTGCTACTACTACTACTATTACTACTACTGCTTCTGCGGCTGCTACTACTGGATCCATTACTAATGCTACTATGGCTGCTACTACTATTACTGCTAATACTACTACTACTACTACTATTACTGCTACTGCTACTATTACTACTACTACTACTAATAACTGCTGCTACTACTACTACTACTACTACTACTACTACTACTACTGCTGCTACTACTACTCATGGATCCATTACTACTGCTACTATGGCTGCTACTACTACTACTACTAACTGCTGCTACAACTACTACTACCACAAGAGTAGAATGTAAAATGACAAATGTAGCTGTGATCCGCAGCTTGTCATAGGTTCAAAGCCCATTGTTGCAGGCCCCTGTGATCCTCATTCAGACTTTATTAAACAGTCATTCATTTGCATCCAGTGATTTAACACAGAGATCATTTTCCTCCAGCACCTGCCCTACACTATAATAACCCGGGACAATTACCTCTCTTGAAATTTAAGGAAAAGGAACGGGAGAGACGTGCCCATCCGTCACTTTCACGGAGCGGAGAGGCTAATTAACAAGGTAATTAAACTGGAGTCGATGAGTGAGTGTGAGATGTGTTTTACAAGCAGGTTTAATAAGCCTGAATCCTCTCCATCGCAGAATTGGCATCGCTCAAATGGCTTTCCGATAATGGCGCGTTTTCCTCACCGGGGCATATTTGTTCTGAAATGACAGCGGTGGGATGAGGGGTAAAGAATGTGTCGATCATCTCCAGGTGTGTGTGTGTGTGTGTGTGTGTGTGTGTGTGTGTCCAGATTTGTATGTTTGACGGCGGTAAATGGTTGAAGGAGCCTGGATGCACTGCTGACACAGACCTTGGACGTACACAGCGATAATGGCGACGCCTTGAAGAGCTGAGTAGAAATGTACAAGTGGAGCGCGGGTAGAGAGGATTTCTTTCTTTCATCCTGAATGGACCTTGAACAAGTCCAGTTTGATGTGATAAGTAGATAAAAGACTCACACAGACAGAAACTTCTATCTTCTTTACCAATTACAGGTACGGAGACAAAAGACGTTTCCACTGGCTCTTCCCTACTCTACTCTACTCTACTCTACCCTACCCTACTCTACTCTAATCTACCCTACCCTACTCTACTCTACCCTTTCCTTCTCTACTCTACTCTACACCATAATTTGAACATCCTCCACATCCCAACTGGAGAATTCTGCTTCCCTCGGGCGCCAGATTCAACTCAGCCCGTGCCACCCATGCACCGCGCACTGACACGGCCTTTGCTTGATTGGAGCGGACCACCGGGGCAGAGAGGAACCACCTGTCTACCCCACATTACCATATCCCTATTTACCCAGTGTCAGTGCGTTCTGCCTCGCGCCTGCTAAACGGCCACCGCTCTCAGCTCGGAAAATCCTTCTTTTTTTTACATTTCCCACAGAGCCTCAAAGCACATTCATAAATGCCATGTTGTTCCTTGATAAGTCAATATCTCCTGTTGCAAAGCGATTACCGACAAAACAAGAGCCCTCCGTCGGGGAAAGTCCAATTAGTCCGCGGTGGCAGCAGGTACCGAGCCGCGTTGGATATTTCAATCCGTCATAATGCAATAGTGCAGAGGTAGCGCGCCCTGATGATAATAACAAAAATCAATAGATCCGTTATAGCCACAATAGAAGGCGTTTACGATCGTGAAAGTGCGTTTTATCGTCCTGTGGAGTTGTTTATTCACCTTTGATCGTTATGTTTGGTTAACTATTAAAGCCGCGGGCGATCGATGTAATATCAATACAGGCTAACTGCAGAAGATCATTTTCAGATATTGCGATGAGAGAAGACTCAACCCAGGAGGCAGAAAGAAAAGCCAAGACAGAAAAATAGTGAGCGTGAAGCGAAGGCCCGAAATGAACCTTTCTGCTCTGCTTAGTTTGAGTAATTGGTCCAACTGTGGTTTGCACGATGATCCAGGAGAGAAGAGGCGATTCAGAGAGTTAGGATATGAAGAGATAAAGGCCGAAACACTCATCTGGGACTTACAGACAACTCTGGTCTCGCTCTGGTCTATCTCTGGTCTATCTCTGGTCTATCTCTGGTCTCTCTCTGGTCTCTCTCTGGTCTCTCTCTGGTCTCTCTCTGGTCTCTCTCTGGTCTCTCTCTGGTCTCTCTCTGGTCTCTCTCTGGTCTCTCTCTGGTCTCTCTCTGGTCTCTCTCTGGTCTCTCTCTGGTCTCTCTCTGGTCTCTCTCTGGTCTCTCTCTCTGGTCTCTCTCTCTGGTCTCTCTCTCTGGTCTCTCTCTCTGGTCTCTCTCTGGTCTCTCTCTGGTCTCTGTAGTATCCTCTCTGATGGTAAAGCTGCACTCCAATGGCTTATTGATTTTATCATTTGAAAAAAGAAATTATGTTTCTTTGACAATAAATAGCTTCACACGACCACGACGAGTAAAGTACTGCTCCCATCACGGTGTGGAGCGAGAGGAGAACAATACACTATTGGAGGAATCTTTGTGACTCTCAGTCTGTGACAGGCGCTACACAAATAAATATGACTACAAAAATAATAAAGAATTATGCAATCGTTCATAATCTCTTTGACAAAAACAATGGCATCTATGAATCCATCATCTGAATCATTTCATTTTTACAAGGGCTTTGTCGATGAAAGTTAAGACTTTTTATACTGATAGAATAGTATCACAGGACCAGAGAGAGACCAGAGAGAGACCAGAGAGAGAGACCAGAGAGAGACCAGAGAGAGAGACCAGAGACAGACCAGAGACAGACCAGAGAGAGAGACCAGAGAGAGAAAGATCAGAGAGACCAGAACAAACCAGCTGTGATATAAAGCCTCGTGTTTGCGGCACATGTAGGTATCAGGTAGAATGTCAACATCAAGGACAAATATTATGCTCAGAGAGGCGCGTAAAGAGAGGCGCGTACAGAGAGGCGCGTACAGAGAGGCGCGTACAGAGAGGCGTGTACAGAGAGGCGCTAACAGAGAGGCGTGTACAGGATCAAAAACATAGTGTCTAAAGCAGACTTGGAGATTCTTATCCATGCATTTGTCTCCAGTAGGTTAGGCTACTGCAATGGCCTGCTCACAGGTCTGTCCAAACAGGCTGTAAAACAGCTGCAGTACATTCAAAATGCAGCAGCTCGAGTCCTGACAAGAACCAGGAAGTACGACCACATTAGTCCAGTCCTCAGGTCTCTGCACTGGCTTCCTGTGGCTCAGAGAATAGACTTTAAAACAGCTCTGCTTGTGTACAAATCTCTCCATGGCCTCGCACCAAACTATATTAGTGACATGTTAGTCCCATATGAACCAGCCCGGACTCTGAGGAGCATAAGGACTGGACTCCTGTTAGTGCCCAGAGTCAGAACTAAACATGGGGAGGCTGCATTTCAGATTCATGCTGCTAAAATCTGGAACAGTCTTCCTGAAGATGTGAGACAGGCCTCCTCTCTGACAATGTTTAAGACAAGGTTGAAAACAGTTCTGTTTAGCTGTGCATACAACTAAGAGATTTTATATTTTTATCTTTTTTTTTTTTTTTTATGTACTGTGATTATTTATGATTTTAATGCTTTCTTGTTCTGTTCAGCACTTTGAATTGCCTTGTGTATGAATTGCGCTATACAAATAAACTTGCCTTGCCTTGCCTTACAGAGAGGCGTGTACAGAGAGGCGCGTACAGAGAGGCGCGTACAGAGAGGCGCGTACAGAGAGGCGCGTACAGAGAGGCGTGTACAGAGAGGCGTGTACAGAGAGGCGTGTACAGAGAGGCGTGTACAGAGAGAAAATGTTTGTCCAGAAGGGAAACCCGTGCAGTAATAAGGCAGCGGAGGAGCACAGGATTCTGGGATTGAATGGACAAGTGGGCGGGATCACAGGCAGAGCACGGGCTGTTCTTCACGTCTCCCTCGAGCTCTGACAGTCCACACAAACTTCAGGAGATAGAAAGTCAATATACGGTGGCCTGGATGGTCCACACAGGGGAGAGGTCACCGTATCGAACAGAGGCGCCGCAGCCATCAGTCTCTTTGGGAGTTTATGGACCGTCGCTGTGTCAGGGACTGGAACACGCTTTTACTGTTATTAAGCACAGCGCATTCAAAACTCAATAAATGTCTGGGCCCCAACGACAACTGTGTGTTATAAAAGACAGGGGCCGCTTTTGTGACGCGACACAGAAACATGAACGTTCACAGTAGAATCCATTACTTTTTATGTATCATATGCTGTATCTGTGTATGAATAAACTGTATGTATGTGTTTGTATACATATGTATACCAGATGTTATATGATATATAACTAATACATTGCACTGAAACTGAAAACTTTCACACCCAAAAATACCAAGTGTACGAGTGCACTTGGTCAGAATTGATACAAATTGAACAAAAAACAGCCACAAATGTTAGATGCAGAAGTTCATGACAGCTTTAACTACAACACCGACAGTTGATTCATATGAAGATTAAAGAACACATATTATGCACTATATTTCGTCATTCAAAATTATATCATTTATTTTTTTAGAATGGGAAAAAATATCTAAAATATATGGTGAAACAAGTTTAAAGGGTAAATAATGCTTTCCGCCTGTAACTCCATATGATACCACTAGAGGGAGCAGTTCAATGTTTTTTCCCAAATGTTCAACTTAAAAGATTGTAAAAAATCTTTTTGTAAAGAACGTCAAAAATAAGTTTTGGACAATACTTTTGTTTTAAAGGCAAAAAACTGCTGAGCGTGAGGTCATGACATCATACTATTACTGCGTTTGGACATAAGGGGCGGAGCTACATGTTTGTGCCAGAAATTCCTGAAATTAGTGTGGATGGATCTAAAAGCAACTCCAGGTTTCTCCAGGTGACTATTGAGGGAACGACGTGGGAACAATAGTCATAATATGTCTCCTTTAACATGACAAACGTTAATTTGCATAAAAAGATTTCTCCGTTTTGAAAATGTGTCAAAGCCGTTTTCCTCTGAATACAATCTTCAACACATTTAGTTATCGGCGAAACGTTTAACAGAATTTTCTCAAGAAAGTGCCAATCAAAGGTTATTTGTATGGCACTTTAAAAATCTGTCTTTTCACAAAACTACTTTTTATTACAGATTGTGAGCCTTTTAAATATGTTTCTAACGGCACTTATCTTGAGAAAATAATGTCAACTGAATCACCTAAATTCCATGTATTGTTGTATCGCCCTAAATCACAGCAGCAGTTATCTCGGAGGACTTTACAAAGCTGCCGATTCGCCAACACAGATCAGAGAATCAAACCCAACGCATCATTCTAAAGGCCTAGTACCAAAGAACCTCTGGAAGTCTAGCACCACAGCTTGCACAAACGTTTTCTCCTTAGTTTGACTTTTCCAAACAACTTTTCAAGTCAACTTTTTACAGTTGTGATGAAATGTTTACAGAGCCGCGGCCTGAAGGATGGTAACAGTGACGCTGCGTGAGTGAGCCATTTACAGACGCTGCCAAATCTGTGTTCCTGAATAAACAATTTTCCTTCTCTGGGCTGTCCTGCCTCATTTGCTCGCAATTTGCCGTATGAAGAGCTAGTGCGTGTGTGTGGGCTTGTGAACCGAGGCCAAGGAGATGGGAAAGAATACAAAAAAATAACAATAATACTTAAATACTGCTTAAATACCATTCTTACTTCTTCATTAGTCTCTAGTTGCAGATTATAAACTTTCTTTTTGTTGTGCTGAAGCTAAAGATTTCATAGTTTCCTAATTATTATGCCAAAGCTAACTTTTTGATGCTAACTAGAGATTTAGCACAACAAACATATAACGGGAGTGTACCCTGAGTCGGACACCAACACCTTTTTGTCGCACTCGTCCTTGTTGCTGCTGTTAGCTTTAGCGCTCGCGGCTAACGTTTGGTGGGTACTTTCTACACATGTGTATCTTCCTCCGTGGTAAGTTTTGTCTGTTTTTGTTAAGATTTCATAGAGTAATCCGCGTTTGAAGGTAGCATGCTACTACGAGCTCGGACGACTTTGGTCTGTTGTTAGCTTTGGTTTGAGAATAGTTCTGGAAAATCTACATGTTATGCTAAACCTAGAGATTTAGCATAACAAATATATAGCTTTAGCATTGGGATTTTTATACTTGCTAAAGATAAAGATTTCAATCCTTGCTTCTTTGTTATGCTATAGCTAGAGATTTAATTTTAGTGCAGAGTTATTGTTCATTTATCTTGTGTTGTGTGCTCCTCATTCTTACTGTTCTGCAACACTGAAATTTCCCCGCTGTGGGACGAATAAAGAATCTCTTGATATAAAAGATATTGCACTTACTGGCTGGCGATGGCGTGCTGTATCCACTGATGGACAGACCTGGCAGAGCAGGAGGAGACAGACTTCCCAGCATGTGAGGGAAAAAGTAGGAGTAGGTGGGCATTGGGAAGCCGTTTAAGTGGGGGCCTGGTACTGGGTTGCCCTTCCCAGCCATTGTGGTTCAAGTCCCCCCCCTCCCGTATTTCAACAAAATCGCAAAAAACACCCCCAAAAACCAAAAACAAATCGTGAACGTTGGTTTTAATCCGCCATAGAGAGGTCGAGAGGTTATTCCATCGTACACTCCGGGCTTGGAAACCGGAACGCTGTCCTCTTCAATGTCGAAAGGTTCAAAAAAATGTTGATTTAGTGAATGTGTGTGTCTGGGGTTGCGTGACTTGTACTGAGGAAAAGAGGATAAAAGGACACATGTATCAGTGTTTTATCCTTGCTTTTCTCTAGGGTCGGAGAGGGTCTTATTTGAGAGAGGCGTCATGTAGGAGTCTTATCTCGCAACATGAAGGAGCCGAGGCAAGTCGAGTCAAGCCGGGGGTGGACTTTTTGATGGCTGCAGTCGTTTCAGGAGTAGTTGATAGTGGTGATAGGGGTGCGAGTGGTTTTCCTTTGAAAGAAAAAGAGAGAAGAAAAAAAAAAAACGAGGGGATTTCAGCCTTCCACTGCAGGGAATTCACCAATCACATGATGCCAAAGCTCCTCTCCTCAAACGGGCCCTCTGTTTGCTCCCGGCCCTGGAAGAGAAAAAGAGAAAGAGAGAGAGAGAGATCATTTAGTGCTTCAGTGACAAGGTAAAGACATTGTTTTCCTTTGTGCATAAGCGCTTCAACACAAAACCTCTTTCCCTGACACTAATTAATGGTAATGTCTCAACAGAAATGCTACAAAAACAGCCCATCCGCCTTAATTATCTAATGGTGTGATAAAACAGTGAGAGCAGCAGTGGGTGTGTGATCCTCGCACGGCTTCGCACACGCTCATTACCAGTGACAGAATAGATCTAATGTACAGCGGGAGCCGACACAGCCACCAAACAGAGCCGTTATCAAGCCAAAACTTGGATAATTACATCAGCCAGAGGTGTACCCCAGGGCTACATACTGGGACTCTTTCAATATGTTGTGATTTTAAAAGACACATACAACAGGCTTGGTATCTGAAATGAACACTAAGGCAAATACAAAGTTATCCTGATTGATTTTTGTCTAGAAAGTATCAGTGATTGCGACAGACCTGCAGAGAAAAATGTATAAATCTTGGCTGTAAGAGATGGAATATGACACTGAATGAAGCATGAATCATATCAGGACACACACACACAGACACACATACACACGCATACACACACACAGACTATGTTTCCACTTGCGTTTACTGTAGGTAGCTCTGGTGTCATAATTACTATATCGACTTTCAAAACCGAAGGAAAAACCAATATATTTTGGCCTCAATATTCTCATTTACACTGCGGCAGAGGATAATTTGTCTCTGTAACACAGGTTGGTTTGAGTTTTATAGGATTAGGGTTTTGACTCAGTTCTGCTGCTTATTTTCTTAGAACATGCTGTTTTAATGAAAAAGATAAATCAGGACAAATTGGGACTATTCCGCCGTATTGTTCTTGCATCAGTGACATTGAGTCATTTCATAATTATCGTTTATTGCAGTAGATTTCTGAAGAAGGCCTGTGGATGTGACCCATGAGTTTTACAGTCGGTATTAATTAATCAGACACTAAATATTAGAGTTCTTACTATTCTACAATATTCTGCAATGTACTATTATTCCATTTTCTTGGTATCCTGCTTCATTTTGCCAAGGACCGCTCACGTCGCCCTTGGAAGGCAGGCACACGTGGATCATTATTGTAAAGAACCTTCGAGCCAATCAATAATAATTTGAATCTATAAAAAGGATTTTTTTTTCACCATCTGACAATTACACAATAGACAAAGACAGTAATCTCCGGTTTTAAATCGAAAGCATCAATAAACAAGGACATAACATGGCCTTCCTTTGTCCATTGTTAACCGACATAACGTGAAACATAACCATGTGCGAGGCTGCTGTGTGTTGGGTTTAAAAATGCTGACGATTAAAATATCATAAGATTGTGCATCTGTTCGTACGACCAGAGATCATCGGGTTATGCACACATCAGACAGGAGCTATTATTTAAGATAATAGATAAAAAAATATATATATATTAAGATAATAAATAAACTCTATGATTGCAGCTGAGGAGTGCACACTGGAGTCAGCAGCTGCATGAAGTATTTACAGATGTGTATATTGTACTTGAACAGCAGAGAATACAACCAGAGTAAGCAATAGTAATAATAACAGCAGGTAAAGACACGAGTGGAAAGGGCTTGTACCTGTGGCTCAGAAAACAGACTTTAAATCAGCTCTGTTTGTTACAAGTGACATGTTAGAGCCATATGAACCAACTCTGAGGAGCACAGGGACTGGACTCCTGCTGGGACTCTGAGGAGCACAGGGACTGGACTCCTGCTGGGACTCTAAAGGCCTGTGTACACTCGCTTAGTGGTTGCGGTTACGTTGGACCTACGTAACCACAGTTGGTGGTACAGTCGCGCGTTCCCCTTGCGGAGTTTTGAACAGAATGTTGTAATCCCACTCCCAGCCACGTGATGGCGATCTCACAGGAGTTGCCTGAACAAAAACAATAGCGAAGCTGTTTGAGATCATTACATGTGTTTCTACTGTAGGTTTATGTGACCGTTCTAAACTCATCGTTTCAACTCATTTAACTGTGATGCTGTGAATAAAGACACACTTATTGTTGGAAACAGTTATTATTCAATTGTATTCAGCACAAACAGCAAAACAATAAGTGGTAAATATCTGAGACAAACATGAACAATTTAAAAGTGCAGGAGGAAAGCAACAAACGCAGCTACGATTCAAACAAAGACAGGAACAGTGCAAAACAAACGACTGTACAGTTTATAAGTTATATATAAGTTAGATATGCAACAAAACTCTAATCCACAGTCTCTGCGTATATCAGGCTCTGCCATGAGCCCAAACTGCTTTTCCTTCGGTTCCTTTGAAGCATGAAGCAGTCTGCTCCAAAGTGCCTCGTCCATGCTCCCTGCAGCCGCTCCGTGCTTCACAGAAAGTAATCACACACGGACCAATCACAGCCCAATAGTTAGACATTTTCGAGGGTGCGCGGCAGGCTACGTAAGGGCCTTGCGGTGATCCACACGTTGCGCAAGTGACGTCATGTCACCGCCGTAAGCTCTGCGCCGCACGACTATACACTAGGCTTGAGGAGCACAGGGATTGGTCTCCTGCTGGGACTCTGAGGAGCACAGGGATTGGTCTCCTGCTGGGACTCTGAGCAGCACAGGGATTGGTCTCCTGCTGGGACTCTGAGGAGCACAGGGACTGGCCTCCTGCTGGGACTCTGAGGAGCACAGGTACTGGCCTCCTGATGGTGTCCACAGTCAGAAATAAACATGGGGAGGCTGCATTTCAGATTCATTCAGAAACTGGAATTGTGTAAAATCCTGAACAATCTTCCTGAAAATGTGAGACAGACCTCTTCTCTGACTATGTTTAAATCCAGATTTATTTTATTTTCTTTTTTATGTACTGTGATTGTTTATTTCAATGCTATTTTGTTTTGTTCAGCACTTTGATTTGCCTTGTGTATGAATAGTGCTAATAAAAATAAACTTCTCTTGTCGTGCAGTGTAGTCTAGGGTAACAGTGAGACATCTGCTTCCCATAATTCCTTTGGGCTGGAGCTGTGTCCAGACGTGACTAAAATCCACCTCTGAGCAGCAGTAAGTTATGGGAAGCGCTCGTGTGGGCGGAGTGCAGTCATCGCTAACCCCACAATACAATACACCTTTTAATGAAGAGCTGATTTTATGGTATTGGCAACTATTAGCCGTCCTATTTTTATTGATCACGACCAAAGTGCTTTGAAGTCGCCCGGTGGCGGTGGACCAGAGCAAATGAAGAAACTGGAAGAGCAAGACGCAGGGAAAATGTGGCCTTACATTAGACAAAAGCTTTAATAGCCTTTTTAAAGCCCCCGGGAGTTGGATATAGTTTTATTTGCTTATAAAGCCTCCCTCTTCATGACTGGCCTCTCATTAAACTAAAGAAGATCTACTCACAGCAAATGCTTTTAAGATATTACCTGCAGCGTTGTCCCACGTAGACGTTTGTTTTAAAAGCAGGTCTTTACACACTAAATCTGTATTGCGCCTGTCAAAAGCTACACAGGAGAGATCGAAAGCCGTATATGTTTTAATGTTTGGCCCCGGAGCCGTGCGTGCTCAGGACCGGCTCTTTGAATGAGGAACTACAGCTTGTGGAGACGAACCACAAGCCGGAAATAGGCTACTTCCTTCACCATTATCATTACAACGCCGAGTGTGGCCACCTAAAGAGGCCATTCTCAATGATAAGCTCCATCCCAAATTACCCAGAGCTTGTACCAGCGCTGACTTTGTTGTGGACGCTAACACCTACTTCTTTTTATTGATGTTACGGTGAATAGACTTGTGTGTAGTAGTTTAGGGAGCTGAATGCACTGGGGTCCTGTGTGATGCTGGTATCATTGGAACTGTTTTCGTTGGAATAGACCGTCTCACATTCGTCTGATTGAATAACGTTTAGGATTTCCGTACTCAAATCCCATGGCCTAATAGTGTATAACTTGATTACACAAGACAAAAGAACCGAAGTGTTCAGTCAAAAATTGCGCAACAACGATGAATGAAAATATGACTCCATTTGGTTGCGAAATTGTTCGGCGTTGCTAAACCTACTGCTATGTCAACAAGAAGAGTATGTGAGTGAGCACATTCTCTTCAAACAAATGATGAACACGTACAACTGGAGGAAAAAGATTGTGAACAAGGACATGGGCCGGAGACATGGATAGTAAAGCAGCTTCATCTCTCTTGTATCTGCGCAGGTTTTATGTGGACAATCCTGGCGCTAATCTCAGCATCATTTATCTGACAGCGTGCTCTTGAGCAAAGGCAGTCCAGTGATGTATGTGGACTGTACAGAAAGCCTGACACTCAAGGTCACTGAGAGGAAGAAGAAAGAGGCGGGCGAAGTCTTTCACAAAGACTATTATAATGATAGTAAGTAAGTAAGTAAGTACGTTTTTATTTATATACCGCCTTTTCACTGCAGATCTGAGTCTCAAAGCGGTTTACAATTGTTAATTTTGGGCATTTGTCTCTCACTCCACACAGAGATGGCGCATGCTAGAACTATTGGACATATTTTTAGTGGTAGGGGAAACCGGAGTACCCGGAGGAAACCTACGCAGACACGGGGAAAACATGCAAACTCCACTCAGAAAGGCCCTGGTCCGGCCGGGATTTGAACCCAGGACCTTCTTGCTGAGAGGCGAGAGTGCTATCCACTCAGCCACCGTGCCGCCCGATGATACGTCATGATAATTGCTCGCACTTGTAAATCTGTTTTGTTCTAAAATCAAGTCAAATACATTCTTCCGCTTTGTCTGTTGCCAGGTAACAAGGGCAGCAGTCTAAGCAGAGAGTTCCCTATCCACACACACTTCCTACGTCAGTCTGATAGAGCTCTGAATGCAGACGCTGCTCCCTCTTCGCCATAACAGTCTGATACAGCGGCTGCATCACTGCACACGCTGCATTAATCCGTCTGTCAATTTCACGCTCCATCCTTCCCTCGTGAACAAGACCCCGAGATACTGTCACGGATGAACAAGGAAGGACCCAAAAGCAGAACTGAAAAAATTATATAATCTAAAAATGCAGTTAGTGAATTTTTCCAGACAATTTTGTTTTTATATAGTGGGAAAACATCCCAAAACTCTAAAAGTAGTCAAGTTATCATGTGTTTTCAAATAGTAATGGAATTGACCAGATGTCTATTGTCTACAAAATTAATGACAAATATTTTGGAGCAGACCAATAAAAATAAACCAATGGGATTCGTTTACCCCCTTTCATCCTCTTCCTGTTTCTCGCGAGTGCGCCGGAGTTATCGGATTTACTCAAACCTAAAATGGCTGAACAGAAAATGCCAATTTCACGTTTGCTCCACTCTCCCTGTTGTGACAAAGAAAAGAAAACGCTGGATGTTTGGTTTGGTGGAGAGACGAGGGGAGGGGGGAGTGGTTTCCAGTTGGTGCTACGGCTAAGCTAACAACATCCCTTACTGCACCTTTAATAAATGCCACAAAAAACTGAAACCAGGAACAAGACATGGGGAAAAACAACAATGGACCGACAACAAGAGAGCACAGGGTCTAAATACACAGAGACACAGGTGTAACACATCAGGGCGGGGCAAACCATCAAAGCTCAAACTCAACAAGAGAACAAACATATAAAAAAGGTAAAAACAAGTCCACATCATGACAGATACTCAAACTCCTCCACTTGAAGAAGGACCACTGCTCCCACCTGGAGAGGGCAAGGCACTTTTTTTGGAGCACCATGGCCTCAGATTCAGAAGTGCTGATTCTCATCCCGGGGATCCGCGGCCGGGATGACAACCACAGTTTCTCCTGAATCCACTCCCAGGCCTCGGCCACAGAAGAGGCCGCATCTTTGAAATACACTAAACTGAAACTAAAAACCTGCAAGAAAGATGGAAGTATCTGTCCCAAGATTTTCAGCCTCTGCCTCCAAATCGAAGGACGTGATGGGGGATCAAGGAGGACCTCAAAGTATTTCTTCCACTGCCCAATAATATCAAGACAAATATTTTTATGCATGAACTTAAATCTATATGTCTATATATTGAAAGTGTTTTCGACAAGCCCACTAGTTTTGTTTTCCGTTCCTCTACTGTCTTTCACATCTTCTGAGCGACCTCCAGAACCATTATTTCCTTTGGTTATTGTTCCCCATTGTTGATGCTCTTAATACATAAAGGTAATACATAAATATTTTGTAAAACTGAAATGTAAAATGAAGAATAAAGCTAAATCCTCCAGCTCTACTCTCAAGCTTTGGACGACGGGGGAAAGACTCGTTACCAGAAAGATGTGTTTGATAAGAACATGCTGCACTTATATGACACTGGATAAACATGAATAACTAACCATGACTCACTTACAGCCAAAGCCAAGACTTTAAAGGGGACAACAGTTAGAGGTCGTAGGTCACAGTGCAGTATGGAACAGAGGCTTGTATTTAGCCATCACTGTATCATTCACAGATCACCATTAAATTCATGCATGTCTGCACAAGAAAAGATGTCTGCTCATCTCCCCCGGGAGGGCATCTGATCCATCGCATCCAGCAGCAAACAACAACAATGCAGCCGCAAGAGCTTTTGAATGTATTGGGCTAAAAGTAGGAGAAGGTCATAGGTGACACGGCATGAGTGACTGTAATTGAAAGAGACAGGAAAAGCTGAATAAATAATCAGAAAAACGGCAAAGTGGCAGCGTGAGGTCGAAGGTAGAAGGACGGACAGAGCAGAAAACATGGCCACAGGGGACAGAGCGGGTAACACGGGACATATAGAGTCACTCGGAGGGAGACACAGAGACTCAGGATAGAGACGGTTATGGCTCTTATGGAAGAGCCATAAGTGTATAATCATCATCAGAAACTAATTTCAAATACAGTCTTTTAACTCTGAAATGAAGTAGTTTAACTTTTACAAATGTTACAAATGTTGGGAACACTAGAGTCAAACATGTCTGACACCAAATACAAGAACCCAAGACTACAAACACTACAACATCTACAAACACAAGTAGCAAAGTCCTCCTAGTGCATTTCACCACACACAGTTTATTATATCACAGTCAGTCAGTCCCTGATCTCATAATGAATGGATCTTTCACTGAGTCCTGTGTTTCTAAATCTCTTGGTTTCAGTTTAGCTGCTGGCAACAACTGCAGCTATGTGTCACGCCTCAGAGCCCAGAGGAATGTAAAGCTCCTAAAGCACGGCTTTATCACCGTGAATACCATATGTTTGGATGTCACCAGATCACCCGGGTGTGTAAATATACGTATACATATTATATATACATCATATATACAGTATATACATCATGTATACAGTATATGTATATACAGAGGTATAGGATTTCAGAGGTACTATATTCTTGGCATGACTTCATTTTAACAGAGATGTTCCAGCAGCATTTCTGTGAAAGCTCTGAGTCTGTGTTTGTCCACATGACCCGGCCTGAATACAAGCTGCAAGGCACAAGATGGAAGTCATCCAAGCATGATCTGTTGAATATTTGATGAAGACAGCAGCAGTACAGTTCTACTCATCCCTGTGAGCCATGATAATATACACAGAATATACATGTACAGAGAGGCATGAGCTGTGACAACAAGTGTGTACACACACACACACAAGTGTGTATGCATTTACACATGTGTTTAAACTACTGATATCTACATGGAGTGTCTCCACAAAGAAAATACTTTTAAATCAAATATCACCTGAGTGAGGAAATCTAACAAATAAACATCTGTCTCAGCGCTCTGTCTCAGCGCTCTGTCTCAGCGCTCTGTCTCAGCGCTCTGTCACAGAGCTCTGTCTCAGCGCTCTGTCTCAGTGTTCTGTCTCAGCGCTCTGTCACAGAGCTCTGTCTCAGCGCTCTGTCTCAGCGCTCTGTCACAGAGCTCTGTCTCAGCGCTCTGTCTCAGCGCTCTGTCTCAGTGTTCTGTCTTAGTGCTCTGTCTCAGCGCTCTGTCTCAGCGCTCTGCCTCAGCGCTCTGTCTCAGCGCTCTGTCTCAGTGTTCTGTCTTAGTGCTCTGTCTCAGCGCTCTGTCTCAGAGCTCTGTCTCAGCGCTCTGTCTCAGCGCTCTGTCTCAGCGCTCTGTCTCAGCGCTCTGTCTCAGCGCTCTGTCTCAGCGCTCTGTCTCAGCGCTCTGTCTCAGCGCTCTGTCTCAGCGTTCTGTCTCAGCGCTCTGTCTCAGCGCTCTGTCTCAGCGCTCTGTCTCAGCGCTCTGTCTCAGCGCTCTGTCTCAGCGCTCTGTCTCAGCGCTCTGTCTCAGCGCTCTGTCTCAGCGCTCTGTCTCAGCGTTCTGTCTCAGCGCTCTGTCTCAGCGCTCTGTCTCAGCGTTCTGTCTCAGCGCTCTGTCACAGAGCTCTGTCTCAGCGCTCTGTCTCAGCGCTCTGTCTCAGCGCTCTGTCTCAGCGCTCTGTCTCAGTGTTCTGTCTCAGTGCTCTGTCTCTGTGTTCTGTCTCAGTGTTCTGTCTCAGCGCTCTGTCTCAGTGCTCTGCCTCAGTGCTCTGCCTCAGTGCTCTGTCTCAGTGTTCTGTCTCAGTGTTCTGTCTCAGTGTTCTGTCTCAGTGTTCTATCTCAGTGTTCTGTCTCAGTGTTCTGTCTCAGTGTTCTGTCTCAGTGTTCTGTCTCAGTGTTCTGTCTCAGTGTTCTGTCTCAGTGTTCTGTCTCAGCGCTCTGTCTCTAAGTGCACATCTACCCAGAGCGAGACGTGGACATCACACCCAGCCCCCTGTAGCCCCCTGTAGGGTAATCCACTTGTCAGCGAAACCCAGGTGACATTTCTGCTTCACCTCAAAAAGGTCAGCCTTTAATTATCCCAAATGCCAGCAAGCACTGCACCTGCAAAAAAGAAATAAGCGGATAAGCGGCAGTGTGCGTGCTGGTCAGATGGCGGCCTGTCTCCTTCACAGCCACTGAGCGCTACTGTGTGTGAGTGAGCAGAACCGGACCATCTGCCCACCTGCATGCACTCATGCACACACAGCCATAAACACACACTCCCAATGTGCCACCCAGAGGCACCACCGCCAACCTCAGGCCAAAGAGACACACGCCTGCCCTTTAAGCAAAGACTATGCTGCAGGTTACAACAGAGCAGCACAGCACCATGTGCACGGAAACTTACAGCATTAGTTTGGACCAGATACCAGGACCACAAACCAGGACCAGATACCAGGACCACAAACCAGGACCAGATACCAGGACCACATACCTGGACCACAAACCAGGACCACATACCTGGACCAGATACCAGGACCAGATATCAGAGCGACTGGTGTCACTGTTCACCACATGCAACAGGCTGTGGGACCACAAAATGACAAATATATGTTTTCATTCTGGAACTTGTTGGTTCAATAATGTAGCATTTAAAGGAAGAGTAGCAGGAACAAAGACAGGGCCTCTGGCAAACAAAATGTTTGCTACGCGCCGAGGGCCGGACTGGTTCAATGTTTCTCAACATCCAGAGGCAGTGCCGGTGACACCTGTTGGCTCGATAAAATATGCTCTAAAGCCAATCCTCATACTGTACATATTAGATGTAATAGACATCTGAGAACATGAAAATAGTAAAAAAAAGAAATAGCTCAAACTTGGTGAAATGTAAAAGAGCAGTCTGGACGTCTTGACTGGGCGACACGGTGGCTGAGTGGATAGCACTCTCAGCAAGAAGGTCCTGGGTTCGAATCCCGGTTGGACCAGGGCCTTTCTGAGTGGAGTTTGCATGTTCTCCCTGTGTCTGCGTAGGTTTCCTCCGGGTGCTCCGGTTTCCCCTACCACTAAAAATATGTACAATAGGTCTGGCATGTGCCTCCTGTTCTGGTGACCCCCACTCCCAAAAATAACAATTGTAAACCGCTTTGAGACTCCGATGTGCAGTGAAAAGGCGGTATATAAATAAAGATTACTTACTATTACTTACTTGTCGGGCGTTTTTTGATTAAATCTGAAGAATGGATTATACTTTGGGAAATACAAGTGGATGTTCTTCTTCAATGAACAGTTACGGAGAGAAAGAGACTAAGCAAGGATGGGGAAAGTCTAATTTGTTGGAGCAGCAGAAGACGAAAGGTAAAAAACAAATACAGACTGATTTATTTTGTGCCCATATTATGCGTTATATCTTTTTAATGCAAATGATATCGTTTACACTTACATATAAATATAGCTGAGAAAATAAGCTTTAAAATGATATATAGCTTGTGGCTTATGAAGTTCAAAATACATCTGCTATTGCCAGCAGATGTATTTTTTTCCTCGTTTGCTCCCGCCGGCGGGGGCTAGCGAGCTTAAGGGGTCAATACGTTGCCTCAATGGCAGGCAATGTCTTGGGGGCCATAGATAATTCATCCGCGGGGCCTTGACTTTGACACATGTGTCTTAGATTGATGAATGTGTGCGTGCCCGGTGCTTCATTAGCATAGGTACTTAGCATAAGTAACCGCCCACTAATGCCCATAAAAGGGACTGCAGGGCCGTGTGCAGACGGCAGAGGAAACAGCAACAGGCCTAAAGCAAAGAGTTACACGGAGCAAAAGAGTCACCCTTTTTTCTTCTTTTGCCAGACTGAGAATAAAGTTATAAAATGTTGACTTAAAAGTCAAAATATTATGAGAATAAAGTCGAACTAGCAAAATTATGAGATTATTTTAAAGATGAATCTCAAAATGTTTTGAGATTAATCTCAAAATATTTTGGACCCTGGGAGGAGATCCAGCGCGGACCAGCGCTGAGACCAATGCAGACCCGAGGAGAGACTGGAGTGACCAGCACACAGAAACCAGCGCGGACCTATAGGAGAGACCGCATAGACTGGAGTGACCTGACTGGAGAGACCGCATAGACATAAATCACATTTCAAAATAAAATAATACATGAATAGCGTTTTCATACGATGATAATAAGTACAGTGGTTCTGTCCTGACCTGACTGGAGAGACCGGTGCGCAGAGACCAGCGCGGACCGAAGAGAGACCGCATAGACCAGACTTGAGAGACCAGCGCGGACCCGTATGGATCCAGGAGCATGAAGCACGGACCCGTATGGAGAGACCAGTGCAGACCCGTATAGATCCATAGGAGAGACTAGTGCAGACCCGTATAGATCCATGGGAGAGACCAGCGCAGAGACTCAGCGCGGACCCAGTAACCTCCTGCAGCAGCAGTATATGCCGTTGTTCTGTGGCCCGTGGATAAAGAAATGCCCCCTATAAATAGGAAGGGGTCACTAATACACGGCAAGATTTCCAATGTATTTGATAAAGCGTTGGCACATTTCATTTCAAAATGAATTAAAAAGTAGGCCAGATCTGCAGTGAAAAAGGCGGTATATAAATGAAGATTACTAATAAAGATTACTACAAATAAATAAATACATACATCGATATGACGGACATATCACTGGAATGTTGTATTTTTATTCAACTTCACCAAAGAGGACAACCCCGGCGTGTGAACATGTCGGCACTGAATGCGTACGAGTGCTCCTGAGGACTCGTAGGATTTGTACTTGCCCAAGAGAAATTCTGGTTACGAGAAATATTCGTGAATGCCACTTTCTTCGTAAAAACCTCGTAAGTAGGATTTACGTACAAATCTGTTCCTAAGAACCGTTCGTGAATGAGGCCCAATGCTTTTTACTACATACAAGTTGTATCATAATACATCATTTAATTGAAAACTTGAGGTCATTGTTTCAGCTGTGTAAGAATTACAAGCAGTGAAAAGTGCTGAGTAGAGTCTGAGCGGGACGTTCTCCTCCACTCACAGAACGAGCAGCGAACAGCCTGCGTCCTCTAGCCTCTACAGCGCTGCTTAACACCAGGGCTTCGACTTCAAAATTCAAATATAATTCTAAAATGAAAAATATATATATATTTGAACAAATATTTGACAGCCCTTATAATTTGAAATGTATTTAATGACTGCAAATAAAATAGTTAGCTCCCAAAGGTTTCACCGGGACGTGCTGGGCAGGTAACAGCTAAGCTAGCTGTTTCATGGTAACTTCCGGGTTTTTCGTGATCGCTTTTTGTCACATTAAAGCAGTATTTTTGTCATGAAAACGTTGACAGCAAATTCTGAAATCGTCCGTGCATGTGTGTTAAGGATGTATCTGTATACTGTATTGTCCGATTGACGTTTAATGGTGTTGATTGATATGTATTTGTTTATTGAGCATGGCTAGCTCCGCTAGCTTCTCTACACAGACAAGTGTGCAGAGAAACTGCACAGTGTAGAGACAGGCGCTGATAGCTTGTTGTACTTGTGGAGTAATGGCAGTATTTTACACACCTGAATTACAAACAGAGATTGCGTTGCCAAAGGGCAGCGCTCATTATTGGTTTGAGAGTTCTGTTATCAGGGAAAAATGATCGGAAGAATTACATTCAAGTCAATGGAGTGTTCTACTGCTGCAGAGAGGAGCTGTTAAATACAGTGTTGCCAACTCCTCAGTAAGGAAAGTAGCTATTGGCTGTCCCAAAAGTCGCTAGAAGTCGCTAAATGACGTCATCGCCTAATTTGCATAATTTGCAATTTGCAAATAACTGTAACGGACGCTGTAGGAGAGAGGAATAAGGTCGTGGGAGAGACAAAAGTGAGTAAAAACACCCTAAATATGTTTAGAACTACAAATGTACAAAAATAATTTCAACATTAACAACATTTAATGATTTTAATGCTTTGTCTAGATCCACATTACACACATCAGTTTTGTCCTGTATTGTTAAATGTTATAACAGCAAATGTAATCAAAAGATTGTTATGTAGGGTGAAATTGCTAGCTCTACAACCAACCCTCCTCCTTTATCCGGGCTTGGGACCGGCAAAGTGACCCAAAAGACACACTCTGGCAGAGTTACTTAGGTTTATTTTTGTAAGTTTTTTTTTTTTTTCATAGTTTGGCATAACAAATGATTTAATGTGACCCACTACTGAGAGAAAACAGAGTCACGGACAGAGCTGCCGCGGATGGAGTGGGGGGTAGTGGGGGGTGGCGGTGGTAGGAGTGGCCGGGGAGCTTTGGATGTGTGGTGGTGGTGGAGCTGAAGTTCAGTCTGCAGCAGCCTGAAAACTTCCTGTGCTTTTGAGTCTCCTCTCTCTCTCTCTGCTCCGCCCATAGACTGTAGCTGGGACTGCTGCGCAAGGCTACTGTGAGACTGGCCGCCTGTAAGTGCTTTGGGACGGGGGAGGGGCTCACGTTGAGGACAGCAGCAGAACAATACGTGCTTCACGAGTCTCCAAAACACCAGATAAGTCTCCAAAACACCAGATAAGTCGCTAGATTTGTCGCTAGTCGCTTTTTTGAAAAAAAGTCGCTATAGGGGTCTGAAAAGTCGCTAAATCTAGCGACAAAGTCGCTAAGTTGGCAACACTGGTTAAATAATAAAATATTAGAATATATTCTGATGTTTTAAATTAATACATTCGGATGCGAAACTAATGGTATTCTTTTACTTATATATTGTGTTAGCAGTGCATTGCTTTTGTACCATTTCCTCAGTGATTGTTGTACAGCTTACAAGAAGTTGCGCTAATGCTAATGTTAGCATACGTATCAGATTGCAAATAAAACTAGGTGGCTCCGTGTTATGAGAGCGTAGGGGAAATGAGAAGCCTGTGAGCGAGTTGAGGGCGGTGCTAAACATTCAAACATTGCAGAAACGGGTATAGCTCCTTTAAG